GTCCTTCCGTTACTTCCTCCCGTCTCAGCCGTCAAAATGGAGGGTAATATTATCATTTGACTTATACGAAAAGAGTTAATACCAGCCAAGGTCCCTCGAGGTTGGTGGTTTGGTCATCTTTAGTCCCAAGTTTCCATATTCCATTATTTTCCTTCTTTCATATTCTCTTCTTCAAATGTATTATTATTACTATTATTTATAGTTATTATTAAATTCTTATTATTATTACTATTATTTAAAGTTATTATTGTTATTAAATTATTATTATTATTGTTATTGTTATTATTATATTACTAGTAATTCACCCGCGCGATGCACGGGAAAAAAATTATGTTATTATAAATATAAATAAAAAATAGAAAAATTAAAATATTTTAAATTATTTAATATAATAATACTTTTGAGCTTCCATTGGTCAAAGTATTTATTATTTTTATAGAATACAAAATTACAATTAAGATTAAAATTATAATTTTGTATCGTTAATATAATCTCTAATTATGTGCATATTCAAATAAACTTATAGAGAGAATTTACATAATTACATTGATTTATTCTTAATTGTATTTCATCTATATTATAATTTTCACAATACGAATAATAACTAAGATAATTACATTTGGAAAGCAAATTTCAAATTTTGTATGTGTAAATTTAAACTCTAATTGAACACATTTTTTATATGATTATATAATATATAGCTATTTTATTTTTCAAAAGTATATTTTTTATATGATTATATAATATATAGCTATTTTGTTTTTTAAATGTTGTGTGTTTTTTTTTTTAATAATAAAAGATGTTGTGATATTAAATGTAGCATTAATTATTTCCCAAACCATATAGCATTATTATATAAAGGATTAGCATTAAATTATTATTATTATTATTATTATTGTTATTATTATTATTATAATAATATTCATATTATTATTATTATTGTTATTGTTATTATTAAATTATTATTATTATTATTAATATTATTTATTGTTATTATTATTATTATTAAATTCTTATTATTATTACTATTATTTTATTGTTATTATTATTATTATTAAATTATTAAATTATTATTATTGTTGTTGTTGTTGTAGAAATGTGCAAATGCTATATAGGATGAGTGTATGTAATAAAATCAGAAAATTAGAGAAATAAAAATCAGAAAATTAGAGAAATAAAAATCTGGAGGAATGGAAAAATGGAAAACTGAAAAAATGGAGAAGAAAAACTGGAAAAATGGAGAAAGAAAACTGGAGAAATGGAGAAATAAAAAACTGGAAATGGAAAAACAGATAAATGAAGTAAACGACCCTTATACATTTGTAAATTTTCTTTAATATTGTATAGGAGAAGAGGGAGTTCGAGTTGGAAGTTGAGAAACCACCCACTTTCTTTAATATTGTTTAGCCAAGTTTGGGACTAAAATGGCCAAACCACCAATAATAATAATAATAATTTAATAATAACAATAACAATAAAAATAATAATAATAATAATATGAATATGAATATTATAATAATAATAATAATAACAACAACAATAATAATAATAGTAATAATTTAATGCTAATAATATAATAGTAACAATAACAATAATAATAATAATTTAATAATAACAATAATAACTTTAAATAATAGTAATATAATAAGAATTTAATAATAACTATAAATAATAGTAATAATAATACATTTGAAGAAGAGAATATGACAGAAGGAAAATAATGGAATATGGAAATTTGGGACTAAAGATGGCCAAACCACCAAACTCGAGGGACCTTGGCTGGTATTAACTCTTTTCGTATAAGTCAAATGACAATATTACCCTCAATTTTGACGGCTGAGACGGGAGGAAGTAACGGAAGGACTCTAGAAGGTAACTTTTGACAACTCGGAGGATGACGGATGGTAATTACGGAAGTTAGGGACCATTGATGGCGATGCCATCAAACTCGAGGGACCATAGGTGGTATTTACTCAATAAATAAATAACTTTGATTAATTTTTTTGTTGACCTATAGGTTAGTCAGAGCTCAAAGTTTTATCGTTTGGCTCAATTCTAAAAAAAAAAAAGAAAAATCTTTCTCAAAAAATGGACTATGAATCTTCAGTAGTTTTAATATTTATTGATTGATATAGTGTGATTTGACCAAACTAAATAAATTGTGAACATAAAAACTTATTAATTTTGTTAGATTATGGGTCAAACATGACCTATATTTTTTTATTTTGTTTTTGTTTTTGTTATTTTACTCGAAATATTCCTATTATAATAAACTAGTATTGTCCCGTGCGATGCACGACTACCTATTAAAGATTTATTTATAATGTTATAATAGATAAAAAGGATGTTTTTATTTATTAGCTGTCAACTATAATAATGGTATTTGAAATACAAACAAAGAAAATATGAATCACATATAATTTAAATTTTGAGAATAATAAATTGACATTATATTAATTTTGTTAGATTATGGGTCAAACATGACCTATATTTGTTATTTTGTTTTTGTTTTTGTTGTTTTACCTTAAATGTTCCTATTATATAATAAATAAATGAAAGAAACTGAAAAAGAAAGGAAATTATGTTTTAAAAGAAAAAATGGGCTATTGGAATTTTTTTTAGTATGACTCAAAAAAAAAAATCCAATAAATAAATATTAAATTCCCTAACGGGGATGGAGCCAGATATTTTTCAGCGATTCAAAATGTTAAAAAAAAAAAAAGGGAACGACTTTATTTATTTTTATTTAAGATTTCAAATAGCACAATTTTTTTTGCCCGTTGGAGTTTAGGGTTTCCTACTTTCCTATTTCTAAGCAGTTCAGAATTCAATTTCACTGTTTTTTTTTTTTTTCGGCGTTCTCTCCGGCTCCACAAAATTCTCTCCGTCTCAAATACTCTCCCAATCTCCTGCGCAATCCGCCTTCCGCCGGAAACGCGACGTCGAATTTCAGGTTAATGCCGGCCCCCTAAAGTAGGATTGGAGGTTAAAAAAGTTGCAGCCATGAAGCTATGATTGGGAGAGGCAGTGGAGTCACTGGTTAATGCCGGCAAAATTTGTTTGCCCTTGGAGTTTAGGGTTTCCTACTTCCAAGCAGTTTAAATTTCCTATTTCTTTGTTTTTTCGGCGTTCTCTCCCACCCCTCAAAATTCTCTCCGTCTCAAACACTCTCTCCCGCGCCAATCCACCTTCCGCCGGAAACGGGCACCGGAGGACGTCGTATTTCAGGTTAATGCCGGCCCCCCTAAAGTAGGATTTGGAGAGTAAAAAAGTTGCAGCCATGAAGCTATGATCGGGGGAGGCAGAGTCACTGATTTATTCCATTGTAAGTTGCTATCTCTTGTGTAGTTATCTTTCTGAGACAAATGAATGCATTTGCGAAAAAAAAAACTCAACAAAGATAAGGGATAAAAAGAAATTGGACTATTAAAAGATAAAGCCATAAACTACCCACCTTCTGACTGGTAAATAATTGATGAATTTGCCCAAGATATTATCTATACACTGTTCCTTATCTTGATTAACTCATTCTTGATTTGTATTCTCTTACAAATTTATTTATATTGTCATAATACATCATGATAGGGTTATAGTGCAGTTTTACAGTTTTACTAACCTGAGAATTCAAGTATTGTAGGTCTGTTCTTGATCACTGCTTGTTACAGGGGTTTAAAATCTAGGCCAGGAGGTTGAACACTATTAGTATAAGAAGTTAGGTCAGCAATCATTCAACCAACCATCAACCATCACCCATCACATCGGTTTCGTCAATGCTTTTCAACATGTTGCTCCCCACTTTTACGGTATAAATAGAATACTCCACTAGCTTATTTGGGATTTCAATTTCAATTTTCTAACATTGTACCGATTAGAACAGAGTATCCCTAGCTCCAGGATATTCACATCAAGCATTGCCTGAAATAAGGAAAGGTTGAGAAGAATTGGAGAAAGAAGGTAAATGTTGTGGTTTCTTATCTCCCTTTATAAGTTATTATTTTTCTGTGTGTTTTGGGCTGGGAAGAAGGGGCAGTGGAATAAGTCACTTAAAGAGGTGTTTTCTTCAATCCAGTTGATTGTATATTTGTATATGATGTTATATCTTATATAATTGATAAGGTTGAACTGAAGGCTAAGTGGGTGGTAGAAAATAATGAGCTTGAAGAATTAAACAGTGAAACTGATAAGCAATTATCAAGTAAATGACCTTCTCTCATTAATCCTCTTTGATTAATGAATTTGAACCATTCTTTTTTTTTTTTTAGTAGTATATTCTACATATTTTTAATTTTTATTGTAAGTTCAATATACTATTTTGTTTTATATTTTAAAATAACTTTTATTTTTTATTTTTAATTTTTTTGAGTATTTAATTCTATTATTTCCTAGGAGTATTTCTGTGTTTGTTTTTTTCCTTATTTTTATTGTTTATAGGTGTTCATTTTCATTTTAAACTAGTTATTGTCTGTCTTTTTTTTTTTTTTTTTTACATTTATTATTATTATTATTATTATTATTATTATTATATTTATATTTATAGCTTTCATCCATTTTTAGGGTTCATTTCGTTTCAATACTTTTTTTTAGCTGTTCTTTTTATTTTTAACTTTATTATAGTTTTCATTCATAATAAGGGACTTTCTGTCCCTACCTTCAGGAGAAGATTACCAAATGAGTTTTGTCCTCCGACTTTCTCCCGGGAATTTAAAATTTATTTATTTTTATAATTTCCAATAGCACTTTTTTTTTTTTTTTTTTTTTTTTTTTTTTTTTTTTTTTTTGGCTGTTGGAGTTTATGGTTAACTTCCTATTTCCAAGCAGTTTGGGTTTCCTATTTCTTTGTTTTCCAGTGTTCTCTCCATCTCAAACACTATTTCCCGCCAATCCGCCTTTCGCCGGAAATGGGCACCGGAGGCGTCGAATTTCAGGTTTAATGCTGGCACCCTAAAGTAGGTTTTTGAGGGTAAAAAAGTTGCAGCCATGAATCTATGATTGGGGGAGGCAGAGTCACTGGTTTATTCCATTGTGAGTTGCTCTCTCTTGCGTGGTTATGTTTCAGAGACGAATGAATGCATTTGTTGAAAAAAAAACTCAAGAAAGAGGAAAAGGGAAAAGGTAAAGTGGACTCATTAAAAGTAAAGCCATAAACTACAGTGTAAAGAAAGAAATTTACCCACCTTCTGATTGTTAAAATAATTGATGAATTGGCCCAAGAGATTGCCTGTACACTGTTCCTTATAATGATTAACTTATTCTCTATTTGTATTCTTTTACAAATTTATTTATTTTGTCATAATACTTCGTGATAGGGTTATAGTGCATTTCTACAGTTTTACTAACCCGAGAATTCAAGTGTTGTAGGTTTGTTCTTGATCACTTCTTGTCACAGGGGTTTAAAATCTAGGCAAGGAGGTTGAACACTGTTAGTGTAAGAAGTTAGATCCATCATTCAACCAACCATCACATTAGCGACCACCACGTAACAGGGCTGACCAGAGCACCCAGCCACAAGCACCAGATCGGCTCTGTCAATGCTTTTCAACATGATGCTCCCCACTTTTCTGGTATAAATAGATTACTCCACTAGCTTATTAGGGACCTCAATTTCATTTATCTAACATTGTACAGACTAGAACATAGTATCCCTAGCTCGAGGATATTCACATTAAGCATTGTCTGGTTTATTCCATTGTGAGTTGCTCTCTCTTTGTGGTTATGTTTCAGAAACGAATGAGAATGCATTTGCTGAAAAGAAGCTCAACAAAGAGGAAAAGGGAAAAGGTAAAGTGGACTCACTAAAAGATAAGGCCATAAACTACAGTGTAAAGACAGAAATTACACACCTTCTGATTGGTAAAATACTTGACGAATTTGCCCAAGAGATTGCCTATACACTGTCCCTCATCATGATTAACTTATTCTCGCTTTGTATTCTCTTACAAATTTATTTATTTTGTCATAGTACTTCGTGATAGGGTTATAGTGCAGTTTTACAGTTTTACTAACCCGAGAATTCAAGTATTGTAGGTCGGTTCTCGATCACTTCTGGTTTCAGGGGTTTAAAATCGAGGCGTTGAGGTTGAACACTATTAGTGTAAGAAGTTAGATTCACAATCATTCAACCAACCATCACATTAGCAACCACCACAAGCACCCAGCAACAAGGCACCACATCGGCTCTGTCAATGCTTTTCAACATGTTGCTCCCCACTTTTCCGGTATAAATAGAATATTCAAGTAGCTTATTAGGGATTTCAATTTTAATTATCTAACATTGTACCAACTAAAACAGAGTATCACTAGGTCGAGGATATTCACATCAATTCTTGCCTGGATAAGGAAATGTTGAGAAGGATTGGAGTAAGCAGGTAAATGTTGTGGTTTCTTTTTCTCCCTTTATAAGTTATTATTTTTCTGTGTTTATTTTGTTTTTGGCTGAGAAGATGGGGCAGTGGAATAGGTCACTTAAAGAGGTGTTTTCTTCAATCCATTTGATTGTTTACTTGTATATAAAAAAGTTGCATCCATGAAGTTATGATTGGGGGAGGTAGAGTCACTGGTTTATTCCATTTTGAGTTTCTCTCACTTGTGTGGTTATGTTTCAGTGACGAATGAATGTATTTGCTGAAAAAAGCTCAACAAAGAGGAAAAGACAAAAGGTAAAATGGACTCGTTAAAATATAAAGCCATAAACTACAGTGTGAAGAAAGAAATTACCGACCTTCGTACTGGTAAAATAATTGATGAATTGTCCCAAGAGATTGCCTATACACTGTTCCTCATCATGATTAACTTATTCTCTATTTGTATTCTCTTACAAATTTATTTATTTGGTCATAATACTTCGTGATAGGGTTATAATGCACTTTTACAGTTTTTCTAACCTGAGAATTCAAGTATTGTAGGTCTGTTCTTGATCACTTCTTGTCACAGGGGTTTGAAATCTAGGCAAGGAGGTTGAACACTGTTAGTGTAAGAAGTTAGATCTGCCATCATTCTACCAACCATCACATTAGCAACCACCACAAGCACCCAGCAACAAGGCACCACATCGGCTCTGTCAATGCTTTTCAACATGTTGCTCCCCACATTTCTGGTATAAATAGATTACTTCACTAGCTTATTGAATTTCATTTATCTAACATTGTACTGACTAGAACATAGTATCCCTTGCTCGAAGTTATTTATGTCAAGCATTGTCTGGAATAAGGAAAGGTTGAGAAGGATTGGAGTAAGCAGGTAAATGTTGTGGTTTCTTATCTTCCTTTATAAGTTATTATTTTTGTGTTTATTTTGTTTTGGGCTGGGAAGAAGGGGCAGTGATCCGGTCACTTAAAGTGGTGGTTTCTTCTATCCATTTGATTGTATACTTGTATATAAAAAAGTTGCAGCCATGAAGTTATGACTGGGGGAGGCAGAGTCACTGGTTTTTTCCATTGTAAGTTGCTCTCTCTTTGTGGTTATGTTTCAGAAACGAATGAGAATGCATTTGCTGAAAAAAAGCTCAACAAACAGGAAAAGGGAAAAGGTAAAGTGGACTCATTAAAAGATAAAGCCAGAAACTACAGTGTAAAGAAAGAAATTACCCACCTTCTGATTGTTAAAATAATTGATGAATTTTCCCAAGAGATTGTCTGTACAGTGTACACTGTTCCTTATCATGATTAACTTATTCTCTATTTGTATTCTCTTACAAATTTATTTATTTTGTCATAATACTTCGTGATAGGGTTATAGTGCATTTCTACAGTTTTACTAACCCGAGAATTCAAGTGTTGTAGGTTTGTTCTTGATCACTTCTTGTCACAGGGGTTTAAAATCTAGGCAAGGAGGTTGAACACTGTTAGTGTAAGAAGTTAGATCCATCATTCAACCAACCATCACATTAGCGACCACCACGTAACAGGGCTGACCAGAGCACCCAGCCACAAGCACCAGATCGGCTCTGTCAATGCTTTTCAACATGATGCTCCCCACTTTTCAGGTATAAATAGATTACAACACTAGCTTATTAGGGATTTCAATTTCATTTATCTAACATTGTACAGACTAGAACATAGTATCCCTAGATCGAGGATATTCACATTAAGCATTGTCTGGTTTATTCCATTGTAAGTTGCTCTCTCTTTGTGGTTATGTTTCAGAAACGAATGAGAATGCATTTGCCGAAAAAAAGAAAAGGGACGTCGGATTTCAGTTTAATGCCGGTCCCCTAACGTAGGATTTGGAGAGTAAAAAAGTTGCAGCCATGAAGCTATGATTGGGGGAGGCAGAGTCACTGATTTATTCCATTGTAAGTTGCTCTCTCTTGTGTAGTTATCTTTCTGAGACAAATGAATGCATTTGTGGAAAAAAAAAACTCAACAAAGATAAGGGATACACTGTTCCTTATCTTGATTAACTTATTCTTGATTTGTATTCTCTTACAAATTTATTTATATTGTCATAATACATCATGATAGGGTTATAGTGCAGTTTTACAGTTTTACAGTTTTACTAACCTGAGAATTCAAGTATTGTAGGTCTGTTCTTGATCACTTCTTGTTACAGGGGTTTAAAATCTAGGCAAGGAGGTTGAACACTATTAGTTTAAGAAGTTAGATCAGCAATCATTCAACCAACCATCACATTGGTTTCGTCAATGCTTTTCAACATGTTGCTCCCCACTTTTACTGTATAAATAGAATACTCCACTAGCTTATTTGGGATTTCAATTTCAATTTTCTAACATTGTACCGATTAGAACAGAGTATCCCTAGCTCCTGGATATTCACATCAAGCATTGCCTGAAATAAGGAAAGGTTGAGAAGGATTGGAGAAAGAAGGTAAATGTTGTGGTTTCTTATCTCCCTTTATAAGTTATTCTTTTTCTGTGTGTTTTGGGCTGGGAAGAAGGGGCAGTGGAATAGGTCACTTAAAGAGTATATTTGTATATGATGTTATGCCTTATATAATTGATAAGGTTGAACTGAAGGCTAAGTGGGTGGTAGAAAATAATGAGCTTGAAGAATTAAACAGTGAAACTGATAAGCAATTAACAAGTAAATGACCTTCTCTCATTAATCCTCTTTGATTAATGAATTTGAACCATTCTTTCTTTTTTTTTTAGTAGTATACTCTACATATTTTTAAGGAAAGGTTGAGAAGGATTGGAGAAAAAAGGTAAATGTTGTGGTTTCTTATCTCCCTTTATAAGTTATTATTTTTCTGTGTGTTTTGGGCTGGGAAGAAGGGGCAGTGGAATAGGTCACTTAAAGAGTATATTTGTATATGATATGCCTTATATAATTGATATGGTTGAACTGAAGGCTAAGTGGGTGGGTAGAAAATAATGAGCTTGAAGAATTAAACAGTGAAACTGATAAGCAATTAACAAGTAAATGACCTTCTCTCATTAATCCTCTTTGATTAATGAATTTGAACCATTCTTTTTTTCTTTTAGTAGTATACTCTACATATTTTTAATTTTTATTGTAAGTTCAATATACTATTTTGTTTTATATTTTAAAATAACTTTTATTTTTTATTTAAAATTTTTTTGAGTATTTAATTCTATTTTTTCCTAGGAGTATTTCGGTGTTTGTTGTTTTTCCTTATTTTTATTGTTTATAGGTGTTCATTTTCATTTTAAACTAGTTATTATATGTCTTTTTTTATATTTATTATTATTATTATTATTATTATTTTTATTATTACTATTACTATTATATTTATATTTATATTTATAGCTTTCATCCATTTTTAGGGTTCATTTCGTTTCAATACTTTTTTTTTAGCTGTTCTTTTTATTTTTAACTTTATTATAGTTTTCATTCATCATAAGGGACTTTCTGTCCCTACCTTCAGGAGAAGAATACCAAATGAGTTTTGTCCTCTGACTTTCTCCCGGGAATTTAAAATTTATTTATTTATTTATTTTTATAATTTCCAATAGCACATTTTTTTCTTTTTTTTTTGGCCGTTGGAGTTTATGGTTAGCTTCCTATTTCCAAGCAGTTTGGGTTTCCTATTTCTTTGTTTTCCAGTGTTCTCTCCATCTCAAACACTATTTCCCGCCAATCCGCCTTTCGCCGGAAATGGGCACCGGAGGACATCGAATTTCAGGTTTAATGCTGGCACCCTAAAGTAGGTTTTTGAGGGTAAAAAAGTTGCAGCCATGAAACTATGATTGGGGGAGGCAGAGTCAATGGTTTATTCCATTGTGAGTTGCTCTCTCTTGCGTGGTTATGTTTCAGAGACGAATGAATGCATTTGCTGAAAAAAAACTCAAGAAAGAGGAAAAGGGAAAAAGGTAAAGTGGACTCATTAAAAGATAAAGCCATAAACTACGGTGTAAAGAAAGAAATTACCCACCTTCTGATTGTTAAAATAATTGATGAATTGGCCCACGAGATTGCCTGTACACTGTTCCTTATCATGATTAACTTATTCTCTATTTGTATTCTCTTACAAATTTATTTATTTTGTCATAATACTTCGTGATAGGGTTATAGTGCATTTCTACAGTTTTACTAACCCGAGAATTCAAGTGTTGTAGGTTTGTTGTTGATTACTTCTTGTCACAGGGCTTTAAAATCTAGGCAAGGAGGTTGAACACTGTTAGTGTAAGAAGTTAGATCCATCATTCAACTAGCGACCACCACGTAACGGGGCTGACTAGAGCACCCAGCCACAATCACCAGATCGGCTCTGTCAATGCTTTTCAACATGATGCTCCCCCTTTTCTGGTATAAATAGATTACTCCACTAGCTTATTAGGGATTTCAATTTCATTTATCTAACATTGTACAGACTAGAAAATAGTATCCCTAGCTCGAGGATAGTCACATCAAGCATTGTCTGGTTTATTCCATTGTGAGTTGCTCTCTCTTTGTGGTTATGTTTCAGAAACGAATGAGAATGCATTTGCTGAAAAAAAGCTCAACAAAGAGGAAAAGGGAAAAGGTAAAGTGGACTCACTAAAAGATAAAGCCATAAACTACAGTGTAAAGACAGAAATTACACACCTTCTGATTGGTAAAATAATTGACGAATTTGCCCAAGAGATTGCCTATACACTGTCCCTCATCATGATTAACTTATTCTCGCTTTGTATTCTCTTACAAATTTATTTATTTTGTCATAGTACTTCGTGATAGGTAGGGTTATAGTGCAGTTTTACAGTTTTTCTAACCCGAGAATTCCAGTATTGTAGGTCTGTTCTCGATCACGTCTTGTCACAGGGGTTTGAAATCTAGGCAAGGAGGTTGAACACTGTTAGTGTAAGAAGTTAGATCTGCCATCATTCTACCGACCATCACATTAGCAACCACCACAAGCACCCAGCAACAAGGCACCACATCGGCTCTGTCAATGCTTTTCAACATGTTGCTCCCCACATTTCTGGTATAAATAGAGTACTCCACTAGCTTATTGAATTTCATTTATCTAACATTGTACTGACTAGAACATAGTATCCCTTGCTCGAGGTTATTCATGTCAAGCATTGTCTGGAATAAGGAAAGGTTGAGAAGGATTGGAGTAAGCAGGTAAATGTTGTGGTTTTTCTTATCTTCCTTTTATAAGTTATTATTTTTGTGTTTATTTTGTTTTGGGCTGGGAAGAAGGGGCAGTGGGATAGGTCACTTAAAGAGGTGGTTTCTTCAATCCATTTGATTGTATACTTGTATATAAAAAAGTTGCAGCCATGAAGCTATGATTGGGGGAGGCAGAGTCACTGGTTTATTCCATTGTAAGTTGCTCTCTCTTTGTGGTTATGTTTCAGAAACGAATGAGAATGCATTTGCTGAAAAAAAGCTCAACAAACAGGAAACGGGAAAAGGTAAAGTGGACTCACTTAAATATAAAGCCATAAACTACAGTGTAAAGACAGAAATTACACACCTTCTGACTGGTAAAATAATTGATGAATTTGCCCAAGAGATTGCCTTATACACTGTCCTTCATCATGATTATTCTCGCTGTATTCTCTTACAAATTTATTTATTTTGTCATAATACTTCGTGTGATAGGGTTGTAGTGCAGTTTTACAGTTTTACTAACCCGAAAATTCCAGTATTGTAGGTCTGTTCTCGATCACTTCTGGTTTCAGGGTTTAAAATCTAGGCGATGAGGTTGAACACTATTAGTGTAAGAAGTTAGATCCACAATCATTTAACCAACCGTCACATTAGCAACCACCACAAGCACCCAGCAACAAGGCACCACATCGGCTCTGTCAATGCTTTTCAACATGTTGCTCCCCACTTTTCCGGTATAAATAGAATATTCAAGTAGCTTATTAGGGATTTCAATTTTAATTATCTAACATTGTACCAACTAAAACAGAGTATCACTAGCTCGAGGATATTCACATCAATTCTTGCCTGGATAAGGAAATGTTGAGAAGGATTGGAGTAAGCAGGTAAATGTTGTGGTTTCTTATCCGCAGTGGAATAGGTCACTTACAGAGGTGTTTTCTTCAATCCATTTGATTGTTTACTTGTATATATTAAAGTTGCAGCCATGAAGCTATGACTGGGGGAGGCAGAGTCACTGGTTTATTCCATTTTGAGTTGCTCTTTCTTGTGTGGTTATGTTTCAGTGACGAATGAATGCAGTTGCTGAAAAAAAGCTCAACAAAGAGGAAAAGACAAAAAGGTAAAGTGGACTCATTAAAACATAAGCAATAAACTACAGTGTGAAGAAAGAAATTACCCACCTTCTTACTGGTAAAATAATTGATGAATTGTCCCAAGAGATTGCCTATACACTGTTCCTCATCATGATTAACTTATTCTTTATTTGTATTCTCTTACAAATTTATTTATTTGGTCATAATACTTCGTGATAGGGTTATAATGCACTTTTACAGTTTTTCTAACCTGAGAATTCAAGTATTGTAGGTCTGTTCTTGATCACTTCTTGTCACAGGGGTTTGAAATCTAGGCAAGGAGGTTGAACATTGTTAGTGTAAGAAGTTAGATCTGCCATCATTCAACCAACCATCACATTAGCAACCACCACGTAATGGGGCTGACCTAAGCACACCCAGCCACAAGCACCACATCGGCTCTGTCAATGCTTTTTACATGTTGCTCCCCACTTTTCTGGTATAAATAGATTACCCCACTATAGCTTATTAGGGCTTTGAATTTAGTTTATCTAACATTGTACTGAGTAGAAGATAGTATCCATTGCTCGAGGTTATTCATGTCAAGCATTGTCTGGAATAAGGAAAGTCACATCGGGGTTCTGTCAATGCTTTTCAACATTTTGCTCCCCACTTTTCTGGTATAAACAGATTACTCCACTAGCTTATTAGGGGTTTGAATTTCATTTATCTAACATTGTACTTACTAGAACATAGGTATCCCTTGCTCAAGGTTATTCATGTCAAGCATTGTCTGGAATATGGAAAGGTTGAGAAGGATTGGAGTAAGCAGGTAAATGTTGTGGTTTCTTATCTTCCTTTATAAGTTATTATTTTTCTGTGTTTATTTTGTTTTGGGCTGTTAAGATGGGGCAGTGGAATTGGTCTATAGAGGTGTTTTCTTCAATCCAGTTGATTGTATATTTGTATATGATGTTATGCTTTGTATAAATAGGTCCCTCAGAGATTGTATAATCTTTTCTAGTTAGTATAAGAAGTTAGATCCGCCATCTTCAACCAACCACATCATATTAGCAATCACCACTGAACGGGGCTGAACTGAGCACCCAGCCAGAAGCACAGAGGTTTAATATCTAGGCAAGGAGGTTGAACACTGTTAGTGTAAGAAGTTAGATCCGCCATCATTCAACCAACCATCACATTAGCACCCAGCACCACACCAGTTCTGTCAATGCTTTTCAACATGTTGCTACCCTATTTTCTGGTTTAAATAAAATACTCCACTAACTTATTAGGGATTTCAATTTCATTTATCTCATATTGCACCAACTAGAACAAAGTGTCCCTAGCTCGAGGTTGAGAAGGATTGGAGTAAGCAGGTAAAGGTTGTGGTTTCTTATCTCGCTTTATAAGTTTGTTATTATTTTTCTGTGTTTGTTTTGTTTTGGGCTGGGAAAGAAGGGACAGTGGAATAGGTCACTTAAAGAAGTGTTTTCTTAAATCCAGTTGATTTTATATTTGTATATGATGTTATGCTTTATATATTTGATCAGGTTTTATTAAAGGCTAAGTGGAAGGTGGAAAATAAAGAACTTGAATAATTAAACAGTGACTCTAACACTAGCTATCATTCAAAGAGCTTGTGGTCAAGAGACAAGTGACTCTCTCAAATGAGAGGTCATGAGTTCTGTTAAGTGTTGAAACACAAGAAACAGTGTATACTCTCATATATTTCTGTACAAGAGAACTCCTATTTATACAAAGGTTGGAAGAGCTCCAGCCACAGGATTTGAAATTCAAACAAGAGAGAAACCACCTAACTCTAACTAACCCTTATTCATCTAACACTCCCCCTCAAGCTGGAGCATAGATGTTAATCATGCCCAGCTTGTTACAAATATACTCAACCCTAGCTCTACATAGGCCTTTTGTAAGCACATCCGCTAGCTGATCACCAGTTCGGACATGGACAGCAGAAAGTAGCCCTTGTTGAATCTTGTCCCGCACAAAGTGACAATCTACCTCAATATGTTTCGTGCGCTCATGAAACACAGGATTGCTCGAAATGTGTATAGCGGCTTTGTTGTCACACCATAAAGGAACTGGTTTACTCACTTCTACACCAGTCTCACCAAGGATATTACACAACCACGTCACCTCACACGCCACATGAGCCATTGCTCTATACTCAGATTCTGCACTAGAGCGGGTCACAACACTTTGCTTCTTACTTTTCCACGACACTAGGTTGCCACCAAGGAACACACAATACCCCGTCGTTGACCTCCTGTCACTCGGTGACCCAGCCCAATCAGCGTCAGAGAAGGCCTCAACCCTCACATGCCCATGATTGGCATACAAAATTCCTTTCCCAGGAGCACCCTTCAAATACTTCACAACTCGAACTGCAGCTTCCCAATGGATTTTCTCCGGATTTGCCATGAACTGACTCACCACACTCACCGGAAAGGCAATATCCGGGCGAGTGATAGTAAGGTAATTCAATTTCCCCACCAATCTCCTATACCGCTCTGGATCTTCAAGAGGCTCCCCCTCACCGGCTACAAGCTTAACACTCTGGTCCATAGGAGTCTCGCAAGGCTTCGAGCCTAAGAGCCCAGAGTCTTCAAGTAAATCTAGCACATATTTCCGTTGTGAAAGAAATATGCCTCTCTTAGAACGGACAACCTCTATTCCAAGGAAGTACTTTAGCACTCCCAGGTCTTTCGTATGAAACTTCTTCTTAAGAAAAGACTTGAGCGCATCAATTCCCGCTGCATCACCACCTGTGATTACTATATCATCCACATAGACAATTAACAAAATGCTGCCACGGTTAGAATGTTTATAAAAAACAGTATGATCATAGGCACTACGCTGCAGCCAAACTCAATAACAACACTACTGAACCTCCCAAACCACGCTCTGGGAGACTGTCTTAACCCGTACAAAGACTTCTTCAACTTGCAAACCTTCTCGTTCTCCCCCTGAGCAACAAACCCAGGCGGTTGCTCCATATACACTTCCTCTGCCAAATCACCATGTAAAAAGGCATTTTTGACATCTAACTGGTGTAACGGCCAATCCTTAACAGCAGCTAGAGAAATGAAAACCCGCACAGAAGTTAACTTAGCAACCGGTGAAAAAGTCTCCATATAATCAACTCCATAAGTCTGCGCATACCCTTTCGCCACCAACCGTGCTTTAAGCCGAGCAACCGAACCATCAGGGTTCGTCTTGACAACGTAAACCCACTTACACCCAATTGCCGACTTCCCGACGGGGAGATGGACAAGATCCCAAGTCTGATTCTCTTCTAGGGCTGCCATTTCTTCCTCCATAGCAGATTTCCACCCATCATGAGACATAGCCTGACACAACGTTTTAGGGATAGACACAGAATCTAGTTTGGATATAAAGGTACGAGAAGACTCTGACAGACGACCATAAAAAACATAGGAAGAAAGCGGATGACAGCAACTACGTTTACCTTTTCGAACGGCAATTGGAAGATCAGTTGACGGAGGTTGTGGTAAGGGAGGAGCATTCGCCGTTGGCGCCACTACATCTCGGGGCCGCCTAGAATACACTTGCGTAACGGGAGGTACGACACCAGAATCAGGACCCACTGTGGGTACAGGAATAGTGATAGTATAAGTAAGAAAATCCCCTTCTATCCCCGACGACTTATCCCCGGGAACGCTATCAGAGAACACAGTTTCCTCAAAGAACGTGACGTCAGCCGAAACCAGATATCTCCCCAAATCAGGAGAGTAACACCTATACCCTTTTTGAGTTCGAGAATACCCCAGGAAGATACACTTAAGAGATTTAGGATCAAGTTTTCCCTTTAGTGGACGAACATCCCGTACAAAGCACGTACAACCAAAAATCTTGGGGGACAGGGCAAACAAAGGTTTGGAGGGATACACAACTGAATATGGGTTTTGACCACGGAGTACAGAGGAAGGCATCCTGTTGATAACGAAACAAGCAGTGTGAACAGCATCTGCCCAAAACACTTTAGGCACTTTCATTTGGAATAAAAGGGCACGAGCAACTTCTAACAAGTGGCGGTTTTTTCTTTCCGCGACACCATTCTGTTGGGGGGTGTAAACACAGGAAGTTTGATGTATGATACCATTTTGACTCATAAAGGTAGAAAAGGACTTAAGAAGATACTCTCGAGCATTATCACTTCTCAAACATTGTATAGTCTTATTAAACTGAGTTTTCACTTCAGCACAGAAGCTTTGGAAAACATCAAACAATTCACCCCTAGACTTCATGAGATACAACCAAGTACACCTAGAGAAGTCATCAACAAAAGTTACAAAATACCGAAAACCATGTTTGGACGTAACCCGACACGGACCCCAAACATCAGAATGAACTAACTCGAATAAAGAATCTACTCTATTATTTACCCGAGAAACATAAGGAACACGATGGTGTTTTGCAAACTCACACGACTCGCACTGCAAGATAGTCAAAGCCTCTAAACCAGGACACATCTTCTTGAGCGCTGGTAAAGACGGGTGGCCAAACCGACAGTGCAATTGAAAGGGGGAAACGTTGCTCACCAAACCAGTAGAGACGTTCTCGAGTGATGTAGACTGCTCTAAGACATACAGACCGTCAACCTCTTTCCCCTTACCAATAATCCTCCTCGTCAAAAGATCCTGGAACAGACAATAACCAGGAAAAAACGTAACAGAACATTTCAGGTTACGAGTTATTTGATTAATCGAGAGTAAGTTGAAGGGAAATTTTGGGAGGTATAACACAGAAGCAAGGGGTAATGAGGACGTTGCAACGGCACTACCTTTACCCGAAACAGTGGCTATAGACCCATCTGCTAGAGTAACGGTATGACTAGAAGTGACAGGCAAATATGTAGAAAGAACATTGTAATTACCTGTCATATGCTCAGAAGCCCCTGAGTCAATGACCCACTGTCGAGGCGCAGAAGAAACACACGCAACTGAATTACCTGTTTGGACAAACGTTGCGGAGGTAGGCACTTGACTGGATGGAAACTGCGAGGAAGAAGAAAGCTTCATCTGATTGAATCTAGCCAACTCCTCATCCGTCATCACCACTGTATGACCTTCTGACGTGGAAGCCGTATTAGCAGCCATTTGTTGTCTCGGCGGCTTAGGACACTGATTTCGAAAGTGTCCGGGATCCCCACAATTAAAACAAACTCGTGGGCCTCCACGTCCTCCACGACCTCTCCAGGAACCCCCGCGCCCTCTGGAGCGGTTATTACCCCCTCCTCGAGAACCATAGCCATAGTTATCACCGGTACTTCCCCCTTGGGCTACCAGAGCATTTGAATCCATATTACCCTGTGACATAAGGACATTTCTCTCCTGGAGCTCGTTTGAATCATTATTTCCTGATGCATTTTGTAGCATAGAAAATACTTGATCCAAAGACTCTAAATCCTTATTTCCTAGCAGTTGGGATCTAATAACATCATATTCTTTATCCAGACCAGCAATCCAACTAAACACAAGTAATCGGTCACGTTGTTTTGTCATTTCACCCACATCATTTGTTATAGGCATAGCAGCACACAAAGCAACAGAAATACTCTTAAAATCATAATAGTAATCTCTAAGTTCACGTCCCTTTTGACTAGACTGATATGCTTCCTGAGATAATTGGTATAACTTTCTCAAGTTACTAGTTCCACTAAACCATTTGTTCACTAAATCCCATACTTCTTTAACCGTTTGGCAGTGTTGCATAGATAAAATAATTCTCCTATCAATGCAATTAATTACACGTGACATTAATGCTTTATCAGTGGTTTTCCAGTCCTCAACTGTAGCACCTGTAGGACACTCTTTTTCCAAATGATCACCCTTCCCCATACCATCTAAATTTACTTTAACCAAAAACTTCCATTCAGGAAAATTAGACCCATCCGGAGCCAAAACTATATCAATTAATTTAGACGGTGTGGAGATAACAGTGATATTCCTCTCTTGTGCCATTCTAACCCTTTACCCAACACAACCAAAGGCCTAAACAGCACACCAACGAAAACAGAAAAAACTTAATGGTACCAACCTCACGCAGTAAGCAGAACAGCCCCAACCTTCACAGTGCCTGTTCCCGAAGACACAACCAGACTTCAACACCTCCAGATTTCAACACCTCCCACCTCCTAGAACTCAGCACGACGAGGCGAGACTGGAGCAGGAAAAATCGACCGGCGAAGTCGCCGGAAACCG